CCGCTGCTTTTTCCTACTTTTCTAATGCTGATGCCAATGCCAGGGGGTTTTGCAGGGTAAACCCACAGTCCTTCAGCCACTCTGGATGATTTCACAAGGTGAAAAACAAATCAATGTAAGGTACTTCATCCTATTTCTTCTCCCTTCTACAAAACAACATCAATTGTAACATTGTATTATATTCCAAATTCTTATTCTTGGGCTGTTTTTCCTGATTATCCAATTTATACATCGGTCACCATTGATTACAATATTTTGTTAGAGTTTTCTTATCTGTCGTACCTCCTGGCGAACCTCCTGTTTCTTTCCAGTGTCGCAATATGCATCCTAACGGACTCTTTTTCAAAACTTCTCCACTCTGATTACTTCCCATTTTACTATCTCGCCAACCACAAATAATCTTTACTATTTCGGTAGCACGCTCCTTTTTCTCAAGGGGTCCACACTTTACACTTAGCACACTCTATGTCTGTCCCAGATTGAATTCACAATCTCTGTTTATACCATAAACATTCAAAAATAATTATTGATTCACAATATTTTAGGGTGTCAAAAGCAATATTCTGATTCCCACATTTATCAGCAATTCTACTTCAGGGGCTGCATCGTTCAAATTTTTTAGTTAGTCTTTTAACACGGCAATAAAGGACATCCAAACTTACACGTAAATGCTACTATTAATCTAAATAATTACCCACAAGGGTATGATTAATCATTCGCTTTGTCCTTCTCCGGCTGTTTCCCATGCGGGATAACAGAACCACGGATCCGGACTCCACGCTCGCTTCGTACGTGATTGTACGTCTCACACACTCACACAAATTCAAACACCTCAAGTTATACTTGAGAAAGAAAGAAAAAGAAAATTTCTTGAAACTGTAACTGTTAAGCTCCTAAACAACCAATACCTCCAGACAGTTACTTTTCAAGTGCCTGTGTGTGTGTAACAGTAACTGTTAAACTCCTAGACAACCAATACCTCCAGACAGTTACTGTCCCAATGTATGCGAATAAGACGCTAGCAGTCCCGCATACGCTCAACCCTGCGTTATAACGTAACGACCTACGGGGAGCCACCAGACAACCGGTTCCAAAAACAGAGTAGTAACTGTTAAACTCCTAAACAACCAATACCTCCAGACAGTTACTTAAACAAATACAAATAAAAGCAAAATATCTTAAAGAATACCTTTCAATAGATGGTCCTTG